GACCCAGGAAAAAGACTGGGCTTCTGTTTCTGGCTCTGCTATGGATTTTCTGGATATACTCAGTTTTCAAGGTGAGATGGTGTCTAGTTCACAGAGTAAGAAACATATGCCCAGATGCCTGCACATCAGATACGTGTACATCTCCAGATGTAATCATTAAAGTCAATGTAATTTGAAGAAAGACTCACTCAAGTAATGAAGGCATCTTCCTTGGGATTAGCTGAATCATCCCCCAAATCTACCCTCTGAATGACCAAACATTCATAATGATGATTCAGCCACTCCACTGTCATGAGGAAGTGAATTCAGGTGTGCCATTTGGCAAACTGAATCCTGTCCCAATCTTCCTTAAAAGCTTTCTGAAATCAAAACACCAGTTAAGGCTTGGGCACCACAGAGACTTCTCCTGCTGCAAGCAGGCACAATCCTTGTATTCCATGTTGCTATGCATAAGCACAGTCTTCAACACCCAGAGCTACCACCAGGATTTGGTACTGTTCATCCCTCTTCCATACACCCCCTAAACAGCTTCCACCATTTCTCTTTCCTCCTCTCAGATGCTTGTCATCCATACCCTCCTACACTGCTGTGACTTCAGCCACTTTTGCTATTTATGCTACCGCAGTTTGCACTGTTTCAGCATCTCTGTTAGAGTAAAGAGAAGGTTCCTGGCACCACCTCTGTTACTGCTGGAGTAGCTCTTATTATGCATATCAGAGACTAATCATTCATTAAAACCACAGGTTCTCTAAATATGACTCCCAGGAGGACAGATATGAAGTTCTCATCTACAGAGAGTCAGCCTGGAGGTACTCAATATCCTTTCTGTCCAACGCAATGAAGTCTGCTCTGATGTGCTGCAAGTAAACTGGAATAATTTCTCCAGTATATAAGAGGAAGAAGGGGAAAAAATCCTGGAGTCCCAAAATCACGTTCTATGCATTATGAATTAAAAATCATCTTCTCTGCTGAAGTCTGTAGCACTTGCTCTTGTTGTTGGAATATTAACATCGGCTTAGAACTGAATCAGCAAAGCAGCACCCTAACAAGGTCACTAGCAGCACAACTTTCAGCTGTCAGATGCCCATTTCAATTACATGGCACTTTTAAAGCTGTATCCCTGTAGGGATGATTTTAATTGGACTAAGGATGATATGTTTTCATCATGAAACAATTCTGGCACAAGTCATCATAAAACAAATCAAACCAGTTTAGCTACCTCTGGCAAACTGATTGTTAGGAAACCAGAATGTAGTAAATAGCACATTGGGAATGGTTTAAATGGTGAAAAAGCCTAAGCTGACACCAAGCCTGTTGCAAACTATTTGCTATAGAAGTCTGACTACTTCCAAAGGCTGGATTTGGACTTTTGACAAAAATCAGATTTACGCAAACTGTGTGCTCAAAGGCATGGTATGCCAGAAACTCTTACATCATTGTAATATTCAGGCACATTAATTTAAGTATATAGTCAACATCTGAATCAAAATAAGTATCCGCTGGGATAACATTGAAAAAACAGATGAGAATCACATACAGGGTCTCTGGGTTATATTCACTCTCATGAAAGTATTCCCTGTATCTATCAATGAATGCATTTTTTCAGACAAAAACACCTGGAATACTGTGTCCAGTTCTCGGGACCACAATTTAAAGAGGACATGGACATGCTGGAGTGAGTCCAGAGGATGTCACAGAGGAGCTCAAAGGGTCGGAACACCTCTGCTGTGAAGACAGGCTGAGAGAGCTGGGCCTGTTCAGCCTGGAGAACAGAAGGACCTTGGAGCCCCTTCCAGTGCATAAAGGGTCTCTAAGAGAGCTGGAAAGGGACTTACAAAGGTCTTGAGTGACAGGACAAGGGGGCAATGGCTTCCCACTGACAGAGGGCAGGGTTAGGTTGGATATTGAGAAGAAATTGTTAGCCATAAGAGTGGTGAAGGACTGGCACAGGTTGTCTAGAGAAGCTATGGATGCACCATCCCTGAAACTGTTCAAGGCCAGGCTGGACAGGGCTTGGAGCAATTTGGTGTAGTTGAGGGTGTCCCTGTCCACGACAGGGCAGGTGGAACTGGATGATTGTTAAGGCCCCTTCTAATTCTGTGATCTATTATTTCTTCCATTTGACTGGCAAAAGTGAGGAAGGGAGCAAAGTGTATCCTCTCTTGTGCTCCAGACAGTTTAGGCAAAGAAGGCAAGACACGAGAAATAAAAAATACCTTGGTCAAAGAATGGGAGAGGCACAAAGAGATGAGATTGGCAGATCCTCAGAGAATAAATTATTTTAGCTTACAGACTGCAGATAGGAAGATCTGGACATTGGAGGGACCTTCAAGTTACTGACAGTGAAAAGCGGATAAAACAGCTGCTATGCACAGTATCACACAGAATCATTAATGCAGGAAAAGACCTCTGAGATCATCAAGTCCAACCTATGACTGAACACCACCATATCAACTAGACCATGGCACTAAGCACCACAGCTAGTCTTTCCTTAAACACCTATAGGGCAGGTTACTCCACCACCCCCTTGGACAACCTGCTCCAATACCTAATCACTCTTTCTAAAAAGAAATTCTTCATATTGTCCAATCTGATGGTGTCAAAGGCTTTGCTGAAATCCAGGTAGACTATATCCACAGCCTTTCCCTCATCCACTAGGCAGCTCACCTGGTCATAGAAAGAGATCAGGTTGGTCAGGCAAGACCTATGTTTTCTAAACCCAAGCTGTCTAGGTCAGGTGCCTTGGTTGTCCAGTATCTGTTGCATGATTGTACTCAAGATGATCTATTCCATAACCAGGTTAAAGTCTCCTGAAAGAACAAGGACTGGCAGTCATGAAACATCAAGCATCCACTAATAAAATAGTTCATCCACCTCTTCATCCTGGTTAGGTGGTCTGTAACAGACTCCTACCACGATATCTGTCTTACTAGCTTTCGCCGATTCTCACCCATAGGCAGTCAACCTTGTCATCACTATCCTCAGGTTCTATACAGTCAAAACACTCCCTAATGTACAAAGCCATCCCAATTTCTCTCCTTCCTTGCCTGTCTCTTCTGAAGACCTTGTAGACATCCATTGCAGCACTCCAGTCATAAAAGTCATCCCACCACCTTTCTGTGATGGCAACTACATCATGGCTGTCCCACTACATAATGGCCTCCAAATCCTCCTCTTTGTTACCCATACTGTATTCACTGTAGATCCATACTGTAGATGCACTTCAGCTGGGCTACCAACTTCACCCCAAACTCAGGTATGCCACCCTTAGGCTACACTCAAGAGAGCCTGGTCTCGTCCCTTTCCCCCTTCAAATGCAGTTTGAAGCCCTCTTGAGCAGCCCTGCCAATTCAGCAGCTAGAATCCTTTTAGATTAGAGAGGTGAACCCCATCTGCCTGCAGCAGACCTGGTGCCATATAAACTACCCGTTTACTGAAAAAACCCAAAATGCCACCAATGGCACCAGTCTTTAAGCCA